TTAAATATACAACTAGTTCTTATAAATAGAACATATTTTATGATAAATTTTTATAAATTTTTTTTCGAATTTAATCATTGATCTTAAATGTTGAACTCACACAAAATTAACTCAACATTTCTACATAATATGTAAAATTATTTAATTTTATAATATTTAATTATTTAAAATTAATATTTATAAATAAATTTTTTAACACATTTTAAATATTTATATAAAAATTTCTTTTTTTTCTTCTTTCTTTTTTCTCTCTCTCCCACCCAGCATCCCACCATAAAATAAAAAATTGTATATAACTTTTTCTTATTTACTCTTTCTCTAATTTAAATAAATAAAAGATACTTTTTTATTCATTTCAGTAATACTTTGACATTTTTACTATGTTTCTCTTATTTATATTTTCTTTCTTTCTTTATTTTTTAATCCTTTTTCTTAATCAAACTGTCAGTAAACAAGAAGATATTTTCAAGAAGATAAATTGTATTTATACAGTGAAGAGAAAGAAAAATATGCGAAACGATTATTAATATGAGAGAAAAATAAAAGCATAATTTATACAAATATATCATTAAAAAAAATATAAGCAATAGAACTCTTTCAAAACTATACTCCCTTTACTCTTTTTATTAGTTTCGTTTAGTTTTATTTTAAAATCGTCCGTATAAAATCTTTAAATTTTTTTTTAAAAATAATTAATTTTATATTCATCCTTCGTAAATATTACATCTAACTTTTGAGTAGAAAGAATGAATTATCTCATTTGGTAATTTAACATCATTTATTAATAATTTAACACGATCTGTCGAGTTAACAGAGTTTAATGTTTTAGCATATCATTTAAAAGTGATCAAAAGAAAGGCACAATTGTTCACTCTTTAATGTTAGTACATCTAGTATCACCATTTTTTAAAATAGCTTAATTAAAATAACCTTAGAAGGGTGAAAGAAAAATCATAGTAAGACACGTAGCTAGCAAAAAAAGGTAGGAAAAGATGAGGATCAACTCAAATTTCTTATCAGAAATCGCCGCCAAATGTTCGTAATGATGCCTTTGGTCTTTCTTCGTCCATTTTCCTTTGGATATTGGGACCTGTCGAATGCTTTTGTTACCTTTTGACACATTGCAAGAAGTACTCTTCCTCTCGCTCAACACACAAAAACGGCCATATCTAAAAGATGAACCAAATCAAATTTATTATATCATTGCTCAGTTAATTAAACATTGAAACCATTAACCAACAACCCATTACATTACATTACATTATTGTTATGTCATCAAACAGGTTTTATTATACCATCATTGTGTCATCTTAGTGCTAACTGATCATTGTCCCATCATCTTTATCCATTGTCATCATTATCCTCTTTAATACTACTCATCACACTTTTTATCACTAATTCATCATTACAATTCTTGTCACTATTATTTTTATTTTATACTCATCCAACATGCTATTACTTTTCTTATTTTTTAATAATACTTAAAATTATGATGTTAATGACATATCTTGTTCATATCATCATTTAATTAAAGATTAAAATTAATAAAATTGTTCAAATATTAAAAGATTGAGTTTTATTATAATATTTTAAACTAAAACATATCACATGTTATAATAAAATGTATTAAGTGAGCCATTATTATTCGATGTTGCTAGTTATTTGAACTGTCAATCAATTTTTGTAAGTACATATCAAATATAATAAAGTAATGATTCATGTCCCTCTTTTCTTTGAAAAATTCCACAATTTCAAGACTGTAGTGGAGTGAGCATAAACCACGCATCCTTCAAATGGGCGGGAGATGGAAGCTTCTAATATCACAGAGATTTTGATTTGTTTGGATATTGATAAAAGATGTGGGAATAAAAAAAATTTAAAAATAAAAGAAAAATAATGTATTATTAGGTAGATAAAATAAATAAAAGAATAGGACAAATATTTTTACTTTATTTAAATGAGTGAAAGAATAAATAAATTTATAAATAAAAAAGATTAGGGTAAAAAGTAATGAGATGTATATGGTATTCTTGTTCATAACACACGCGTTTTAAAAGTGAAACAGAGATTGAGAAGTCCCTATCTATCTAGTGAAGAGTTTGATTCATGTGCCTAAATTAGAAATCGGTCAAAGAATCTTGAAGATGTGAATGGGCCAACATGGAAGAAAGGATAAGGGAGAGATTTGAGGAAGAAGAAGCATCCATATCTTATTAAGAAGCGGAAAAAAAAAAGCTGCAGTAATTTACTCTTTTAATTTTTATAAAATCGTATTTTAAAAAATGGATTAATAAAATAATTAATATTAAACCCTTAATTTAAGCACTGATATATAACTTGTGGTAAAATGGTTATGTAGTACATTAATGTATTGGACCCTCTGCAAGTTTGTTGTCATGTGTACGTAGCTGACATACTTGACTAATCAATTGAATTGTCAAATTTTCCTTTTTCGTTGCTTTAGTGATGAAATTCCTCAAGTCAAAGCATTTGCATAAAAAATGACAATTTTAAAATGTTTATTTACTATTATGTATATCCATCTAAATAAATATAACTCGGTTATCGTAAGATACGGGAATGTTTAGATAACATGCTTTTTAAAAAAAATAAAAATATGGAAATTTAATTGTTCTAATGAAATTTATTTAATATTTTGTTTAAATAAAATAATTTAAATTCCTTATGTTTCAAAATTCTAAGAGCAATTAAATTCTAGGTACATGAATATATGTACAATTAACTACACTATATCATTAAAAAGTATTAAATAATAAACATATTATTTACAATTATTTTTTAGATAATTTTTTACTTTTTAAAAAACAATATGTTAAATTGAAATGAATAATTGTATACTATATTTAAATTGAGAAATAAAATAATAATATATTATCATTTATTTTAATTTTAAAGATATATATGTATATTTTTTTAAAACATTCTTGTTTAAAAATAATTTGAACTAATAATATGTGTAAATTTAACTATAATGTTAATATAACTTCTAATAAATTATTAAATATATTTAAATGTATAAGTATACAATTGATGTAAATTGAATAATAAAATAATAATTTAATTTCAATATTTTATATAAATTATTATTAGTTATTGTAATTTAATCATACATTCATCTTTTTGAATGCTTTATTTATAAAAATATTTTAAACTAACAATATTATATGTAATATAAATTTAAACATATTTTTTTATGTTTATATTTTAATGTTAACATTTTCTATTCAACATACAATTTTTATATTTTTTATTATAATAAATTTATTTTGTCATATCTATCATATTATAGTGAAAATTTGACTGTAATTTATATTATATAGTATATTTAATAAATACTATATATACTTCAACAATATTACAATTATTGTTTATAACATATTAATTAAATATTTTGTTTTAAAAGCCTAGATAATGTGTATGCTACATTAAAAGTATAATTTATAATAAATGTTTAAAATAAATCATTCTGATATATTTTTTTTTATAAAAAAAAATACATACATACTGAATTAAAAATATTAAAAATAATATAAAACCATGATAAAATCAAATTTTATTATGATTATTAAGTGTCTGTTTTATTGAAAATAATTTTATATTTCCAATGAAATTATAAAATTATATATATTTTTATCTCAATTATTAACTTTAAATTTATCAATTATTAGCATATTTGATTTTCATAATATATAGTAATTTTATTCAACAAATTTTATGTATAAATATAATTTTTTATAAATTAAAATAAAATCGTGTAATACGCAGATATTGCAACTAGTTTTCATGCGAAATCTATTGAAAATATATACTACACACATATTTCATATTTTTCTTTTTAATTATAAAATTGTATTTTTTATTATATTTTATGTTATCAAGTATTCATATAAAAAATAAAAAAATTATAATGGTTTCTTTATTTCTTATATAAACTTTAAAAAATAAGAAATAAGGTAAATAATATAATTTTTTAATGAAACATAAAAAACAAAAATTATTTTCTAAAACCAAGCATTCAACTTAAGATTTTCTTGAAGGATTGCTTTAAGAAAGAAAACATTTGCGAAAATGATCTATTCATATTGCTCTGTAGCCTAAGGAATACCTTGACAAGCCTAAAAGAATGAAAGAGTTTTAGTAATCACTATACTGAAGTAGTGTCTAAAATTTATTAAGTTAAATAAGCTTTTAATTAAAAATTAAAATTATGTTAAAAACATACAAGAGATTATGATAAAAGTGTATTGACAATATTTTTTTAAAACTTATAACCAACATTCCTAATACACTAATTAACATTTACCATAATAAAATAATATTATATATGAGCTTTGTTATTGGGAGAAAAGGAAGAGGTGGTTATTGTTCTAGTACAACTCATATACCATATTAGGGGGAAAGAATCTTATCATTGAGAGGTTGGTTTTTCCAAGAACTGGGATTGAGGTCCTATCAATGCTCACCACAACCCTCCATCTCTCTTCCATAGCCAAATGTGTTTGTGTTGCCAAGAAGTTGAACATGTCATCACTCTTGAACGGTTTGTGTTATGTCCCTCTCTTCTTACGCGGTTTGTTTTGGGCCTAGTGCTACAATGCCCATGGTTTTGATATTCCACTCAAAATCAAAGGATGGTCCCTTAGACATGAGCCCACAAGATGTTCTGATCAATGCCATGTGCTGTAATCTCAACAGTGTTTTCAGTACTTTTTTTAATTTTTTTTATGGTAAGTGTTGGAATTTTGGAGATATTTCCTTGCTCAAATGCCACTACTATGTAGAAGGAGCTTTTGTTGACCATTTTTCTCCCTCTATAAAATTACCTCATAATGTACATATGTCAAGCTTTTGGCCATTAATAAGTATCCATTGTTAACCAAAACATATGTCATTTACTAAAAGCGTACTTACATGAGTATTGAAGCAAAAGGGGTATAAATAGTTAAATACTATCCTCTCTATGAAGCATTCTGATTGACAAATAACCTTAAAGTAGCAAAATGAAAAAGAAAAGGGCAAAAACATTTATAGTATATATTGTAACCCCCCATTTTATATTAACAATTACCATCATAGTCCTCTCTAGCATTATGAGGCTGCAATCCTTTCAAAATGTCCAAGCCTATTATCAGCCAACCTTGATCCATAAGTTGAGTTCTTGTACTCAAACCAAGTAAACTCTTTGTATAAGCTCTCTTTTCCTTTCATGAGAGAAGGTAATGGTGCAATTTTCTCACTCAGAGGTGGACCCCCAAAGTAAATCATTGAGAGCCTGGATTTGAACCCATTTGCCAAAACCCTGTGTCTCACACTCCTGAACCGTCCATTGGTCATAACCTATGTCGATGCACCGACCAAACCAAGGACAAAAAGGAACAACACACAAAGCACACGTTAAGAGTACTAGTCATAACAATGATATATAATCAATGTATATATTAAAATCATAATATAAACCCCATTTGAATATAATATTATTATACCATACTGACATAACGTGAAGGCAAAAACTTTTTGCTCCTCCTTTTCAATTTCTTTTTCACTTTTGAATTATCTTTTCATGGGGTTTTAGAAAGGAGAGGGAGTTGAATGACCAAGTGTAAATGTGTAATAATTGACAAGTCAACCAAAATTTGAACACACATCTTCAAAAAGCTATGAAAAAGGATAGGTTTATTTATTTATTTTTTACTTGTCCACAGAAATAGGAAATTCATATTGGGAAAAAATGGGAGTTTTCTTATTATTTCTCTTTGGTGTAGCATGCTTTATGTTATACCTGTAGAGAATCACCAACATTGATGAAGAAGGAGCTATGATCAGGTGGGACTGAAATCCAGCTTCCATCTCTGAGAGAAATCTGAAGGCCTGAAGTGTTGTTAGACCTCAGAAGAGAAATGATTTGTGGGTCTGTGTGTTCTCCAAACCCAATCAAGTTCTCACCATTCACAGCAAGTTCAGGGCAAGCAGGGTAATGATTCACCCTGAAAACAGAGTCACTCTGTTTATCCATCACAAGCTTGCTAAACACATTCTTTGGCTGAATCTTCAACCCTTCTGCCATCAACTCAAGAATATCACATGCCATTTTCTTCACACAAGACGTGTAACTTTTCAAAGCACACCTGGAATATCAACAAAAAAGAGAATAAGTTAATCACTTTTGACCATCACTTCATTTTTTTTAATATATATAAAGTTCAGGTTTGTTTGGTACCTGAATTTCTCGGGGTTTTTGCCATACAGAGAGAGATTGGGTTCTTGATTGGTTGTGAGAAGAAGGTACTCAACCCAACCAACATCACCATTGTGCCCAATACTCTTGCTACCATACCCAAATGGATTAGGGGGGCCTGCCTTTTCCTTCTCAATGAGTGGCATAGAGAAGAACTTGAGGGCTTCAGATTCCAACTGGGATATAGCATCCATGGGGACACCATGGTTAATGACTTTGAAGAACCCAAACTCTTCACAGGCCTTCACTATGAGGTTCTTTGCATCAGGTTTGGAAAGGTCCACTAGAGGAATTTGTGAAGAGAATGTGGTTGGCATGCAGTTCTTGATGTATGAGTATTGTTCTGTTGTTGCTTTGGGTAACAACACCATTTTTCTAGTTGCTTCCTCTGCCGTTGTTCTGTTTTTGGTTGTTAACAAGTGGAGTGAATGGAAAAGAAGGAAACAGGGGAGAGTGGAACAGAGAGGAGGTTTGAAGAGTGTTTTTTTGGAGAGTCAATGAATAAATGAGAGATAGCAAAGTTGATAAGGCTTTGTGCAAAGGGTGCTTGTGAGAAAAACGGTCATGGTTATTTATACCCAAAAATTGGTGGGGCATGTAGAGAGAGAGAGAGAGAGAGAGTTGAAATAAGAGGAATTTACAAGTTTACATGAAATGTTTTTTTCATTTTGAATTACCAACATTTTCTTTTCAATAGGGTATGGCCATCACAATCCTGCTGAAATAGCAATGCAGTCATCACCTAACTAAGCATTATTTACTTAGATTTCCTTCCACTAAAATATACATGACAACTTTATCATATTGAGAGGATGTAGTCACATCAATGAGATTCCTTTGATAAGGTGTTCATCATGTTTTTAATTTTTCTTTTTGAATGTTATTGTTATTTGGTGTTCACATTGCAGCTTGGTGCTCATCCGAAACAGGTAGGAATGGCATCTTTTGGTGGTAACGTAAATAAACAGCAATGGTAAAATTAAGTATGAGGATCAAGTAGCATGCATGCATCTTTTCATGTTTGAAGAAGCAGTTCAGTGTATTATTTTTTGCATCATGAACTTGAGTCACAACCATATAACATGCATGGAAACATTCTAATTGTAGTAAAAAGCACGGACATTGGTATAATTTTTCATTGCTATTATTATTTAGCCATATTCCCTTAAATATTCACCCAAGAAACTATATTCCTCCTTATCAAAATCCATACTTGGGCTTTCCCAATACAATGTGCTAGATTTCTTCATTTTCTTCCACACTTTCACTCACTCGGTCCTTTCCCACCCATTGCTACGTGTTATCCTCTTATGCAAGTGTCTCCTAATTTTAAATTAATTTATTTCAAATAAATTTAAATTTTCGTAAACATAATTTATATAATAAGAATTTTTTAATTGAACAAATAATTTTATAATAAAACTTTTTAATAAAAAATTATTTATTGAAATAAAAATAAGCACCTAATTCCAATTATAGTGAACCTCTCAAGTTTATGAAATTTGTGTCATTCCAAATTGATGGCATGAGATTTCCCAGAAGTTTCTTCAAAATGAAACGTGGGGAAATGGATCACTATCTTGAACTGTGGAGTTCAAAATTGCAAATTAGAACATCAACATCTACTAATCTGATTCTTTGAAAAGAAATAAAAAAGTTGAAACATTCCTTTGGGTCATTCAAATCTCACCATAGTGCTTCTCAACAATATGCACATTGAATTCATCCATTTGTTTTCAGCATCTCCAATTATATCCTATACCTTTGTTTCCTCAACACGTGCTCAGAAATATAAATATATATAATAATAAAAGCATCATCATCAATAATATCCCCAACCAACCACTTCCCTTCTTTTTCTTTCCAGAAAATTATATTATTTATTTCTAATGTCTGTCTAATCACGCATAATAGTTTTTATATTTTATTTAAATTACTGGATTAATTAATATATTAATAATGTTCAATATTATAATTTTTATTATATTTTTAGCATTTTTTATTTTTTATTTAAAAAATGATTACATTATTATATAGGTTCAGATAAGAATGCATTTTACTCCATGCCTTGGTTAAGAAGCGGTGAGAAGCATCGTTATCAGGAATCAGTGTTTCAGCGTATATAAAATTCGGACAAAATTGGATAGTATTATTATTTTTTATTACATAGATGATTAAAATAATTTTTTTATTAGATATCAATATTAGAAATATTTATTATATTATGTACGTGAGTTTTGTTAAAAAATAAAATAAAATCTTCATTGATGTGTTTTTATAATAGTTTATTTTGTATTTAAGTAATTACTAAATTTTATTCAAAACTATTTTTAAATAACATTTTCTTTAATCAATATTTAAAAAAGTGAAAATGAGCTGAACGAAGTTCTAGTTTTATAAGAATTGAACCTATCTATACTCTAATTTTGAAGCTTAAGTTGGATATGTAATATTTTCCAAAGCATGAATTTGTCTGTAAGTTTATTCAAAAACTTATTTCATAGTAAAACATTTTAAAGCAATTAAAAAATTATGTAAATTATTAAAATTTTAAATTTACACAAGAATTAAAAATCTTAAATTTTCTTAAATAAATTAATAAAACTCTTTTAAGTGAACTTGTAAAGAAATACTTATAGAATAAAAAAATTAGTATAAAAATAAATAAAAATTTATTCATAAGTTAAAAATAATTTATATCTTTAAATTTAAAGAAGTTAAATGGGATATCTTTTAAATTTTTTTAAAATAATAAAAAATATAAATCATTTCTAATCTATGAAAGAAATTTTATTTAATTTTTATATTAATTTTTTTCTTTTTATAAAAAATTATCAAGAAATTTATCCAAATAAGACCTAAGTATATAATTTTAAAGTATTTTTAAGAAATTTAATACAATTACCGTATTATAATTACTGTAGGTCCACACATTATTATCATCATCTTAAATAGAAATGTCTGAGAAGTTTGAAGAATATTTATTTTGAATGACTTAATTTTTTAATTAAATTAATTTTTGAAAATATGTAACCTAACTTGATTTGATAAATAAGTGCAATTGTCTTAAACTTGATGTTTGTCCTGCTATATATTTTTATTGAATAGTTTGACTTGTTTTCACTAATTCACTCTAACTAAAATTGGTGTGAGTCTCAATAAAGAGGTTCCACAACAAGAAGAGAATGAATTTTAGAAAAAAGAAAAAGTTAAAAGGAACTAGACTTAGCAACTTTCACTTAATAACTAAAGTAAAAAAGCGTTATTTATTTATCTTTAATTTAAATAAAATGTTTTATAGAGATAATTAACTTATAATTTTACTAACCAATAGAAAATGGGTTTTCTTAAGCTTTCCTATATCTTTTTATATAATTTTATAATAATGGTTTTATTACTTAAAAAAGTAAATGTTAAATAAATAATACGTATTCACTATCTTAAATATAAAAAATATACTTAATAATCAAGAGAATTTAACTAAAAATCAAACATGTATGATGACTCCAAACAAAAAGTCATTAAATGAAGAACATAAAAAAAAATAGTTAATGATTCTTTTTCAAAAATTCAAATTACGACTTTGATATTGAAGAGATAGAATAATAAATGAAATGAACAATGTTTATAGGAAGAAGATAACCAAAATCTTAACATGAAAGTGATTATGAAAAGAATAAATAGAAATCACGAGTTATATATCTATCAGGTCACTGTATATATAATTAAAAAAAAAAATTAGACAGACAAGTTAATGTTTTGGAACAAAATTCTAATAAAATAAGAATTATTGAGTTGAATATAGAAACTAAGAAAGGGAAAGACATTAACAGCATGTAAAAGAAAAGGATTGAATAGGAAAAGAAGAAGAGAGTGAGTGGAAGAGGGTTCTAAATATAAGAAAGATCTTTCTTTGTTGGGGGGTCCTGTGATGAGTGACTGAGTGAGGGGACCATGCCAATTCAATTTCCTATGCTTTCTATTATTTTAATATTATTATTTTCTGATGCAATCCAATTCTGCCTTGACTTCCTCTTTCAAGATCTACAAGACATTCTCCATTGGACTTGGGGGGACCATTTTTTTTATTATATATTTAATCCAAATGTTACCTTTCTTTCTTAATTACTCATTCTTCTTTCTTTCTAATTACATTCATTTATTACAATGTGTTACCAGGAATTTGTGTTATTAGTGGGATGGTTCACCGATTAGTTATGTTCTCTCTTGTTTACAAGTTACGTTATACTTTAAATTAATTACATACTTTTTTTTGGGATGAGATTTGGCTTAATTAAATACTTATTTAATAATTTTTTATCATGTTAAAATTTATTTAAATTTTTTTGTAGATAATTATACCAATAAGTTATTTTATTAACTCTCAATGAGCTCTTTTAAACTCTCTAAATATATTTATATTTATACTTTAAATGTAGCATTACTTCATCATCCAAGTAAAATTATTTTTGAAATATTATTCTTAAATATAAATAAATTATTTCAACCTCAAATCTTGTTAATTCAATTTCAGCGAGCTTTAAAATTAGACAATTCAATCGTTTATATGAATACCTAATGAAGATGGAGATCCACATTGTACGTTTCTAAACTATTTTAGTTCATGAAGCAAAAGTCATACTTGAACGTAATTCCAACTAATAATTACTATAATCTGATTATTATTATTGTTTCGTGTACGAATAGATATTATTGACTAAGATATAAAATTCTGAAAAATGGGGGAGTTTTGGTCATAATTGAAAAAGACCGTCAGCAATGTCAATTGGGTTAAATCCATGGGTGGGGCCACTCACCAGCCATGAAAGAAGCTTGAGGTTGAGAGTGAGAGGGACACACACATTTTAAAATTAAAATTATGAGATGGGATTTGCATATCTTTGATGCTAAAATGTTACGCCCATGCGTCAATTTTGGCTGAAAGGAGTCATGAAAATAGTCATGACTAAAACACAAAATATATTTTAACAATATTTTTAAAGTAATGAATGTATTACCTTTTTATTTAACACTTTATTTAACAAATCTCATACTTTAATATTCTCCCCTAAAAGAATGTATTATTTGACATTTTCATTTCATTTCTTCCTTATATTCGTCAATTTGTGATTTAAACAATGCTTCGAACTTAACCAACTTTTGACTCTTTACGTATATTTTAACAATTATATAGTTATATATATCTTTATTTTTTTTTCTTCTAAATGTTTGGACATCTATTACAAGTTACAACAAAAAGAAAGAAACTTATCATGGTTTCAACAATATAGTTCACAATCATTGAAAAATCATCCATCGAACATCCAACTCCATGATTCATATCAATTAGTATTTTTATAATTATATTAGCTATTAACTATTAAAAATAAAATATCTTTAATATATTAAAAAAAATTATTTTTCAGTTAATCTACCTTACTTTATTTAAGAATTGAAATATTCAATTAAGCCACAACTTAATTCGTATATTTTTCAAAGTTAAAATTATATGAGAATGATATATGAAGT